GTGTCGCCAAAAGAAAACCCGACAATTTAAATATAGTCTATATTTAAATTGTCGGGTTTTCTTTTGGCGACACACATTTGATATCATACAAGTTCTTTGATATTAAAAATTTTAATCTTCCAACATTAGAAAGTTTTAAGAATATTAAAACAATGTAGTTCTGAGAACATAATTCAAATTTGAATTTTAACAATATTTGAAATTATTTTTAAGGAGGCATCCATAATTTACGTTAAACTAGTACTTTATTGTATAGAAATCGATAATACCATCTGGTATTATTTTTGCATTATCTTTAAGATTTCTTTAACAATACCGTTTTAACGTAAATTATGGATGCCGCCTAACCAAATTAACCCAGGTTGAATCAATGATATCGGGAAACCTGTCTCCGGGTAATGTACCCGATTTTCATTGATTCAACCCGTGTATTATATTAATGGATTTACTTGTTTGCGCCTGTAACAAACCAAAAAAAGGAAATAATAACGGAAACTTAAGTAAATATGTGAAATTGGAGGTTCAAGGTAGTGGCAATGGCTAACGAAAACAGGTTCGTACTCGCATTTTGAATATGTCGATTTATTCCATATATAGTTTGTGTTACAGGCGCGAATAAAGTATATACAACTCGTCAAAGTTCTAATATAATACGCGTATAAAAAATATTGGCCTTAAAAACATGATAATAAATCTCAAATAAACACAACATGTTAGTTAATAAACACATACTATAGAATTTATAAAAATTCTTTAAATGAAAAATTTTTTTTATAATCTATGCTGAATCGTATATTAAAAAGGAATAATAGTAGAACGAACTAAAAATTTAAAAGTTATAATAGACCTGTATAGAGAGAATCGACTGTATTAATATTTCTGTTATATCTTCAATTAGGACGGTTGAAGAAGCACATTGTGCAAAAAGAAATTTTACAAATGTACATACTGAAATAGACTGATTAATGCGCCACCAACCTGGCACACATTAAAGATAAAGAATTGCCACGAGACAACGACGTGACGTATTGTCAACCCCGATAGCTGGCTGACTTCTCCTTGGCTGGTGATAGTAGGCTTCGCCTTCTCTTGGGCGCCGTTATTACTATACCGTTTAGTCCTTCAATAATATAGCTGTTTTATTTTATGCTAATGTCCGCATCCTTTTAAAAAGAGTGAGAAAGCTTTAAATGTAGATGATTTTTGAAAAATGGTCGATAAAAAAAAAAAAAATAAGAATCAAACGTGAAAATGTTGGTAAATTATCTATAATTTTTCATATTTAATTATTGCAAAATGCGATGCGTGTTGAAAAACACAATGAACGCACCTTATACATGCTGTATCTTAGAGTTTGGAAACTAGTTTCATTTTGCATATGGGAACCCCACAGCAAAAGGGGCAATGAGCCAAAATTTTTATTTTTGTAATTTTATAAAATTGATTTTTTTAAAAAAAATTTTTGGTCCAATGCCCCTTCTATGTAGTTCCGTAATCCGACCATCTGAATTGATCCTTAAATATAGATAAATTTAAATATCCAGATCAGAGATTTTTATTCGGATTTGTCAAAGAACTTAAATAACGGACATAAGGGTGTTCTCAAAGCTAGCTTTATATCTAATCTGACACGGATTCAATCCGGATTTAATAGAATCCGGATGGCCTGTCAAAGATAGGATCGAATCCCTACTTCTGTGGAGGTCGGTTTTAACATACGAAAACTCTGGCTGTAGCGACCAATAAATCAATGGGGCTACTAAAACATGGAATAGAATGTCAAGATGAAAAATCCAAAGATTAGAAAGAAGTACAGATAAAAGTATTACAAGTTGTGATAATTAGGAGAATGGCTAAAAATTGACATTGCAGACAGATTTGAGCATGTCCGCTTCGCTCCGGACAATAACTCTGACACAAATAAAAAAGGCCTAAAGCTTTCATTTGATGAATTGAATGAATATGTGTAATTTTCTTAGGAAAATTTGGTTACGTTCGATTAAGATGTTAACAGTAACTTCTCTTTTTTTATATATTTTGTCAATATGGGCGATGGACCCGTCTTCGAAGGGGATTTTCCATTTTGAGAAAATGACGATTATTGTTTGTGTAACCTAAATTTTACCCTGAACTTTTGTTTATTTTGTTTATTTTTAGATATCAATTACTGAATAAACATCATGTGATTATACAACATTGATTGACCAATCTACTTTAATTGAGCCGTCTGTTGATCTATTTTTAGAACATATACGTTTAAAGATTGGTTTACCTTCAAGTTAAAATATCTTGATAAATTATTATATCAATGTAAGATAAAAAGTGAACAGAAACTGGCACTTTATTTTGAATCAAAAATCTCGAAATTGATGAAAAAGTGTCGAAGACGGGTTTTCCTAGTCCATATATTTATCTGTATCGGGGCAGTATATATTCCAAATATTCCAAGGAAAAATATCTCTGAACTATTATCTCATATTGTTCTAGTTAGATTTCAGACTTCATGAACTGCTGTAAGTTTAATCTTGACACACCTTTTTGTACAAATAATCAGCAAATGTTTATTGAATTTTTAGGAATCTATCTCACACAGTGTTGTCACTTGGCCACTTGGCCGGCCATTGGCCAAAAAGGGCAAGAAAATTATTTGGCCGAAACGGCCAAATATTTTGTATAGCAAAGCTAGGAATATGATTGGTTAATTTTGTAAAAGTTAGAAACTTTGTCAAAGCTTGGCCATTGGCCAGTTGGCTGTTGGCCAATTGGCCGGCCAAAGGCCAAAAAAATTGTTTGGCCGTTAAAAATTGCCAACACTGATCTCACATAAGATGGTTATTATCAGCTGACTGACTAGGTCAGTCAATAAAAACATTGGACAAAACTTTACCTCGTATTTTATGTTCGTTTATTTTTTCCTTTCGGAATTTATCGTAATCTTATGGAACATATGCAGATCAAGTACTTAGGTCTAAAGCTTCCAAAGTAAATTTATGTAGTCATAAAATTATAAGATAAAAATCTAAAAAATCTTGTTATTACTTCAGCACTTTGCAGATTGCTTTGATACATAAACTTTACAATTCATATGTCATGTGGTCAACAAATATTATGTTAATTGCCGGAGCGTAACATTAAGTGATACAAAAACTATGCACTTCACCCCAAATACTGTAGTTGTTTTTTTTGATGCATCAGCATAAACACGTAATTTGGAACCGTCCGCACGCGTGTTAATTTAGTGTAACAAAAATAAGCATATTCACGCGTTTGTGTAATGAGATGATCATCATATGATATGCTTCGGATCTAGAGATTGTACCCGGGTAGACATTTTTATTATATGGCTATTAATAACAGTGCTATAACGAATAACCGGGTAATTTAATAATACCCGGGTAGAGATTTTCTTGACGGGTACAATCTCTACTCGGATCTAACAATGCTACGCATTTACATCGTTTTTGATTAGTCAATGCTATATGATCTAAAAAAATCAACCAATCATGATGAAGGTTCGTACTGTTAATTCCTACTACGTATAATAAAAGGTTTACTATACACATACCAGTATAACTTATATCGATACACTGTATTAAATTACTTTTTTTTTAATAAAAAAGATTAATAGATTATTGTATCATAATAGCCAATCTAAGTATAATCACGTGAACGGACAGGCGTAATTTACGAACGTGTACGTAAAGTCTGATCACACAAAAAGTTCTATATGCATTTATATATCAAAAATGTACGTTCCTTCGCCACTTTTAGGCAATAATTTTTTATAAGCAATCTACCCATTCTCCAACAAAAGAGACAGATTCACTATCACCAACTGTGATCTTTTCATCTTGTAAGGCTTTACCAACACATAGCCATGGATCCCGCGACCCACCCCATTTTAAAACTTCTTCTCGAAACCTTTGTCCTGCTTCTCTACTTAATGGATCTTTTTCAAATACCTGTTTCCATAATTTTCCAGCCAACATTCGACAAAAAAGATAGCTGTAATATCCCGCTCCATAACCAAATAAATGTACAAATTGAATCTGCCATGCAGTTTCGGGCACTGAAGGAAATAGGCCAACAGTATCCTGAAGGTTAGCTAAAATAGCAGTAGTATCAAAGTCAGTAGACATAGCCAACGTGGAATGGTAAATTTGATCTAATAATGACATTAGTATTTGATATTGTGTCTCCATTGCTGAAAATTGGGAACGTGCTTTAAGGTGTGAGCTAATAAGGTCTAACGGTATAGGTTTTCGAGTATCATAATGTTTTGCAAAAAGCGAGAGGACAGTGGGTGAATAGACAAAATGCTCCATAAGTATGGAAGGTAGTTCCACAAAATCTGTTGGACATCTAGTACCTTTTAAAATTAGGAAAAGTAATAAAGAATTAATCAAAAAGTCAATACCACTTAATCGAAAGAGACGAAAAATGTGCACCCATTATTTACCAGAAACATTATGAAAATCTGTACGCCCAATCATTGCTGGTAATAAAATAAAGAATATTTAATCCTGAAATTTTTTATAAAATTGAATTAATGTTAATTACTCACAATGCATAGCATGTCCCATTTCATGGAAGAGAGTCTCAGTTTCAACCAAGCTTAATAGACTAGGTTTACCATCATCTCCCTTCGGTCTTGCAAAGTCGCATGTAAGCACAATAATAGGTAATTGATATCTTCCGTTCCTGCCACGAAGTCTTACCCCTTGCTCCGATGTTGCTAATTCTCCTATCTCCGAAATATCCATATCAGGTGGAATGTCCCTAACACTGTCGTCATCATCAACACGTCTAGAACATCTCACTGTATAATGAGCTGCGTTTAGATATTTACCATGTCGATTAAAAAGATCACAATATATTGTTCCTATCTTTCCTTCTTGTTCATCAATTACATCAAGCTTACGAACATCATCATGCCATGTCTCGCCAGGTAGTATTTCAGAAGGTTCAAACGAAATACCGTATAATTTGGAGAACAGTCTTGATAAGCCTTGAATCACAGAACCAACAGAAAAATAAGGAGATATAGGGGTCACAGGTTGTGCTGAAGAGGCTTTAATTTTTTCAGTATAATAATCCCGATCCCAAGCATTAACAATTGGTAATTCTTTACATTTAATCTCTTGCCGTTTGGCTTCTCTCAGAAGGCAAAGGTCAGCAAGAGCTTTTGGTCTGTGATGGTCAGCAAGTGTTCTTAAAAATTTTTGCACATGATCTGCAAAATAAATTGAATCATTGTGAATAGCAAATTTAACAATAGTAAAATATAATTTGACGTTAGTTCATACCAGGATTTTTTATCATCTTGTCTATGAGAAAGACATGACTATAACTATCCATCCCTAGCAACCTTGCTAACTCTCCTCTCGTACGCAACAAATTCTCCAGTAAATCAATTTGTTCTTTTGTGGCTGAATTAGAAGCAATAAACATTTTCTTTCTAATATTTTCATCTTTGATTAGTTTCAAAACCATTTGAGCTTCCCAAGGCTTAGTGGATAACCTAGCGGTATCACTATTTTTTGTGGACCATCCTGTGTGCAATCCATCAAGACATGATGCATCCACTTCAATTATATTTGTTGATTTCAATATTTGACTGTGTGTAAACTTACGACCGAGCGTAATAATCTTATCAGATAATTGAACAAATTTATCACGATCTGATGAAGGAAGATGTATCCCGGATTTTTCAAAATCTCTCAAGAAAATGTGAGCTACTTGACGTTCTTCTGATGAAAATTGAGAAGAAATGCTTGGCGTTGATATTACCCGCTTCAATACCTGAGATATAAGTAACGAATAATGTTGGCCTTAATGCTAAATAAAGTTGGATAGTATAATGCATTGAAAAAAATAAAAATAAAAAATAAATGGGAATTGAAGATAATTTATGTTGAAAATCATCTAGGATACTAAAAATTTTCCTTTTGCATGTACCTGATATAATTCCCTATTGGTATTCAATGAATTCATAAATGAACATAAATACTCATAAACTCGATTTGCTTCTTGAGAAAACTTTTGATCAGGATGAACTGTTCGCACAAACTCAGCTGTGTCAATTACCGAACAAAGTATATCAGATAATCTATCCAAATTTTTGACCACCTTCCTTAGTTCTTCGTCGGTATTAGCGTTAGTAATTCTATTTATCAACAATTTTACTCTCCTTACTGCCTTTTCAGCTTCTTTCTGGAAACCTTGTGGAGAAGTTAGTTCGGGATTTCTAAATAAGCCGGTGAATTTTCTTGTTGAAAGTGGCGTGTCAAATTCTAACTTAGTAAAAGTTCGTGAGCGATAGGTAAATTCATTCCATACATTAATATTATCAAAAATTAGACGCAAATTTTCGTCTTTTTCGTCTTTTTCGAGAGTATTATTAGGCGAAACCATTTTCGTAAATGGCGAAAGACGAAACCTAAAGTTGGTGAAAGACGAAGGACTGGCGAAACCCCTGACGAAAGGCACAACCCCCCGGCTAAAAACGAAACCTCTGGAGAAAGACAACGCCACGGCGGTCTAATAAAACGAAAGGCAGAGCCATATTAGTAAATAAAGGCGGAAACGTTGCTAATATTGAAGAAATATACCATTACTAAAAAAATAGCCTTCAAAGCTTATAAATTTACAAATTCAACCCCTTAAAATCTGAGCAATGTATAAATTGTAATTTATAAACATGTTAGTGAATATCAGGTTAATTTATCTATAAGCATTTATCTACCGCTACGCATTTTTTTTTTAAAAAAAAAATTCTATCTTAAAACCGTAATGATAAGCTTTTATCTCGACATGTCTTATATACGATTTTTGTGTAAATCATCGGCTTTCTAATGCGATAATAAATTTTCCTTAACATCAAAGTGAGTATGTACGTACATACGTTCAGTCAAAATTTTACTGATAATCGCAGATTTCTAGCGTGGCCTTTTGACTAAAGAAATCGACTAATCAGATTTTTCGACTTGGATCGGTCTACTTTTTTGATCGGTAGCGCTGATTATCGTCGAAAAAATTCTGATTGGCCAAAAATCTTGTAATATGTATCTAACAGAACTTCTGACAACTATTTATACTGAATAAAATTATTAAAGTCCTGTAAAGGTTAAAATAATTAAATGTATAAGAACTTGTAGGGTATCACTCATAACTTCTGGATTGATACAATATTATATTCGATACATGTAATGTATATCTACTAAATTTTCGTTTAATATAACATGCGAGTATATATTGCCTAATCAAATAGTTAATGGATAGGATTTCACCTTTTGTACTACCTGTAGTACAGTATACCAAAATGCATTAAAAATCTAAAATATTATAAATCCAAAAAATTTTTATATACAAAAATCTGATAAATACTATAGTTTTATCTGGCAAAATTTTTTTGATATTATGTATTAATAAAGTTGTTGAAATAAAAAATATTTTTTAACTGCTATTTTTTTGCAAATTTTAGTGTACTACCTGTAGTACACTATTTAAAGCAATTTTATTCTTAAAATTATCAAATAATTTTATAAAATAAATTTGAATTATATAAAAAAGGTTTAGAACTTAAAAAATTATTACTAGTTATATAATAAAAAATATAACTTGTATTATAAGCTTAGTATTACAATAATAGAAAATTATTACTATTTTTAGTAATTTATATAAACTCTTTAATTTTTAACTATAGTTAAAAAAATTTTTTTATTAAAAAAATTTTTTAAATTTTTTAATAAAAGTTGTAGATAATAACTATTTAATTTTAATTATAAAATTTAATTGATATTAAATTTTTTTTTTTTTTTAATATTGAGG